AGGATTTACATCACCAAATCAGACTGTTATGTACTTTCGGTGTTCCAAAGTAAAGAATGAAGTACAAGAGTCAACTATGCTCCTTGAAAAGAACAAAGGATTGCAAATTTCCATGGTGGATCTGAAGATGACACAGACCGGAAAAACTCATTTACTAACAGAGTACCAATTAAAGAGTCTGACAGTAATCTTTAACAACTTACTGAGATCTTAAAAAATTAGTAAGTGTTGACTGGTGGTTAAAGAAAAGGCCAGGCTTAGTTATCAAAGTATAATGGCAAATTACATTTACTCCTATTCTTACATTTTTTTCCTCTAAAGAGAGGGAAAGGACTAGTGGTGCTTAATATAAATGAATTGTCATTTCTATGAGTTTTTGTCCATGCCTCTCTCTGTTTTCAAATATTTGCTACATATACTGTGTGCCAAGCTATCTTAACCAAAGGGTGAAAAAGTTCTAGTCACACATTGAATATTCTATTCATCTTCAAAGTATACAGTTAAGGAAGTATTATTCAAAGGTCTCAATGAGATTCTACCAATAATCTATGGAGGATTTACTTTCTAATTATTTTCCTAAAATTGGAAACTAACATTTGAAAGCTGTAACCTTTTAACCTTTTTTGCTCCCACAAAAATAGTCACCAGGAGTCTTCTGGAGAACTATATCTGATTTCTGAGGAAGACCGCTGTGTAGATTTGACAGCCTTCTTGGGAAGAATCCAAATGTAACTAAAAATATTACAAATATGCTTTAGCAAGAAAGTGATGAAGTATAGTCAGGAGAATTATGACTTATAATTAACACATGCTTCTGAAAATATGAAGTTTAAAAGCAGAAAGTGTGGATTCTTAATAATGGGCTCTCAGAATTATAGTTACAGTGATATTTTGAGTTTTGTTATAGTTGTTTACTATAAGAAAACACATGTTCCTATCAAGAATGTAAAATTAATGAACACATTTTATATACAGAGCTCAATAAATACTCTTTTGCAAGCTGTACTCATTAAACTACCAATGAATCAAACAAAAAAGTACAAAGCAAAATGAATTCAAAGCTAGTAAGTCTAGATATCTTAAATATAGCAAAAATACAAAAGTTAGTGATAAAGCACATAATTGTGCAATATATAAACACTTCTTTTCTAGAGTGCAAAGGAATTGGTGAAAGATGGAGGGTGATTTGTAGAGTACGGCATGGCAGGTTGTTTTTCTCGCTTCATTACTATTTAAATCATGAGATAGTCCTATAAGTAACAACCATTCAAGATAGGTGAGTGTAAATCTCCCCTACCAGAAGCCTGAGCACCTCAAAATACTGGTGTGTAAAGCAAGGTTTCAAATTTCCATGTAAAGTAAGTCTCTTTGGCCACTAGATGGAGATCAGGCTACTTCCTCTGCCAGGGGGGTAGGGAAGCTGCTGACACTCAGACATGATATGTAATGAGAATCTAGTCTCTTTTCTCAATACTTTTATGAAAGGCATTTTCCAAGTTTCAAAATCAGAAACAGACTTAAATGGAATTAAGGGTTCATAAATGAAGAAATACTTGAGGGATCAAACAGGAAGGAAACTGTTAAAGACCCTTGTTTTCACCACTGCTCCTGATTCATATTTACATCTGGTTGTGCAAAGTACTTGATAATAACAATTAAGAACAATTAAATAGGCTGTCTTATTCTTTACCAAGCAGCTAGAAAGAGAAGAAGAGAGATGATAAAAAAATTAGAACAAAGGCTGCCTATATGGACAATTTGCTTCTCAGAGTATGTATATAAGTATGTATGTTCAATATCAACCAAAATGATCAAGAAACCTTAGAGGTGGAAAGATATATTAGATAATATTTATTCTAATTTCCAAATTGAATTATTGTTCAATTATGAATTATGTAACACTTCATAAGTCTTATTTTTGTTATATTTGAATTTGTATTGGAGACAAAGTTTAACACTTTCTGGAAAATGTCTGGTTTGGGGAAGGATCAGATAATGCACTGCATAATATAGCTGAAAATTTTGGTTATTCCTTGAGATGTTAGATGCTATAATTCCATTCATTTCTAAGTTAATAGACATATATATTCATTCAATAAGCAGTTACATAAAAATAAATGAATAATTTGTGACAGTTTAAGAGAATTCCATTGTTGTCAATAAGTTTCAGTGACCAGTGCAATTTAGTGTATATGGGTGTAAGTATAAACAAGCATATTAAATATCTACTATGTACCAATCACTATTTGAAGAGCTGTACATACAAAGATACAGAGTTGAGTTGGGGAAGTCACTGGAAAGTGAAGGGCTGAAATAAGGGTTAATTTTTGCAGCTGTCAAGAACAGTTACCAAAATTATGACTAAAAGGCCTTTTGAAGATTTTACCTGTTATCAGACCAATGGAATTGAATTGAAAGCCCAGAAATAAAATCACACATATATGGTCAACTAATCTATGGCAAAGGAACAAAGAATATACACTTGAACAAGATGAGCCTCTTCAATAAATGGTACTGGGAAAACTGGACTGCCACATTCAAGAGACTAATACTAGACCTTTATCTCACACCATACACAAAAATCAACTCAAGACTTGAATGTAAGAACTGAAACTATAAAATACATAAAAGAAAACTCTATGACATAAACCTCAGAAACATCTTTGAGGACTTATCTCCAGAAGCAAGGAAAACAAAGAAGATAAACAGCTGGGACTACATCAAACTAAAAGGCTTCTGTGCAATAAAAGAGACAATAACCAAAACAAAGAGACATCCTGTGGAATGGGAGAAAACATTTGCACACCATACAACTGATAAGGGACTGATATCAAAGACCTACAAAGAGCTCACATAACTCAACCAAAAACAAAGCAAACAACCCAGTCAACAAATGGGCAGAAGAGCTGAAAGAAATTTTTCCAAGATCTGCAAACAGCCAACAGGTATATGAAAAATTGCTCAACATCATTTATAATTGGGGAAACACAAATCAAAACCACAATTTTAGAATGCCGTGTGGAGGTTCCTCAAACACTAAAAATGGATCTACGATATGATCCAGTGATTCAATGCCTAGGAATCTACCCAAAAAACACAAAAACACTAATTCAAAAGGAACTCTCTACTCCAATGTTTATTGCAGCACTATTTACAATAGCTAAAATATGGAAACAACCTAAATGCCCCAGAACATATGAATGCATCAAGAAGATATAGCATATATACAGAATGGAGTACCTCTCAGTGATTGAAAAAGATAAACTCATGCCATTGGAGGCAACATGGATGGAGCCAGAAGGGATTATGCCAAGCGAAATAAGTCAAGGAGAAAAAAGATAAATATCGGATGGTTTCAATTGTATGTGGAATACAGAGAAACCAAACAAAGGGTCAGGAAAAAGACAAAACTTGCAAGCTGACCAGAGATCTGAGGCATACAGCAGGGGTGGGCAAGGGATCAAAACAGGGGAGCAAACAGGGCAAGGGACAATGGTGATGGGTGCTTTGGTGGTGTAGAACTATGGGGGACAACAACTGAGGGGAGAAATCAAACACTATACAAAAATTACCAACAATGTAATAAATAAATGAATTTTTTAAAAAAGGGTTTAACTGTTATGAAAGATAAACTTGATTGAGGCCACAAATCTGCCAACAGCAAAAACATGACCTTTGTTCTCTAGAACACGTGAGAGACTGAAGCAAAATATAAGAAAAAAAATACAATAGTGTTTACTATTAAGCATGAATCACTGTAATGAAAGAGTTTAATTCAAAGGGAAACCAAATTGGTGTTCACAATAATAAAAGAAACAGAACCATGATTAATTCTCTAATTATTGTTATGGATAGTGACCAACATGCAGTCTGTTGCTGTGATAGATCCACTGAACTTAATGACATGCTTATTTCAGAGCAATACTTGGGTTTAACTTAAAGTAATATATTCATACACTTTCAAGAGAATTTGAGGTTACTTGACATTGGTTTGTGATTTTCAAAGAATATATACTAATAAGCTTTTAAGACTTAAGTTTTTAAGCTTTTAAGTTTCTAATAAGCTTTTAAGACTAAGAAATATATATAAATTACTTACAAATATATCAATAAATATTTCTCATTTAAAGAAAAAAATCACATAAATAGCCTCTTAAATTAGTAATTATTAACCATGTGTCAATGTATGCATTTGTAGAAATTTCTTATAATTGGTTCTTTGGAGAACACCACAACCAGCAGACATTTACTTTCCTCTTTGTTGGATAAAAATGAAATGTAAACAGAAAGGTTTTTCCCTGATGAGTAAAATGAATAAATTACAAATAAGTCATTTTATGATATGCTTTAGTATTTATGGGTACGTAGCTTTCCTCATTGTTCACATTAGTTTCAGACAGCAACTAGATAAAACAGAGACTATGAGTCATTTGTGGAGTGTGGAGTTTCCTCTCACTTTGTGACTTGATCTTTTGGTAATCTTATTTTTTTTCCAGATGTCTACTTATTATGACTGCTAAACTTGCATTATCTGGAAATAAGAACACTGGTAAAAACACATCTCTTTTGGATGCATAATTTTACTTATCTCTTCTAGCCTAAAGGGTTTGGTCTTATAATAATGTGTTACATTTAAGAGCCTCAGTATTTCTGTCTCCTAGGTAGCTTGCAGAAAGGCTGACAGTGATGGGAGTGAAAGTGAGAACAGATGCAAAAGTGGTGTTAGAAACTGATTAATGCATATGCTTAAAAAAATCAAAGTTGATGGTATTCATGGGATGTGACCTGAGCCTGTATATTTCAGCACTGACAGAAAAAAAAAAAACACATTTTAATGTTTTCACTATCAATGTTTTTTCTATTATGGCCCCCCTAATGATTTTAGCTATTTGTGCAATTATTTCAAGTCACCGAACCTGAAGTTTTCATGACTGTGACATTTAGAACCAAATTTATATCTGAATGTGTATCTTTAGATTATAAATCAATTCAAGTGGTACCTGAATATCTCTTTCACCGTCTTGCCCAATCATGCTTCTCCATTCCATGAGTGATCGCTGCAGATGTTCCAGTCCAGTTTCCCAAAGCCTGACACGACCTCCCATGTCAACAGTAACGACACCACCTGTGCCCCACTTAGCCAGGAGAGCATCTGTGTCTGAGATAGTAGACAGCCATGTGGTATATGGCGAGAGAGAGTCTGAGCTGAAAAAGAAATCACAATATTCAACCAATTGATATTCCAGTTAATGAGGTTTTGATGTATTCTGTGTATCCTGATTTAGGGTCATTAACTTGTTGAAAAGAATTTTAATAGTAAGCAGATTAAAAGATAAGAGACCAACAGATCTATTTGTAAGAGAAAAAAAGTTATTTACATTTTCCTGTATTTGTGGATCCTAGATAATACTAGCATTCACTGTCAGAAAGAGAGGAACTCTGGGCTAACTCATATCTCACACTCCTATAGTGTAGGACTCACTTCCTAGGGGGTCTAAGGGCAGTGCTGAACCTGATGTCTTGTTTAAGTGTTTTACTAAATCTGTATTTGATATTTTGCCTTTTCTCACTTAGAAAGTCATTTAAATTTATAACAAGTAGTTCATATATTTATTGGATTATATATTTCATACATATACCTATTTCATATATATCTACAGTAATTTCTAGGAATGCAACATTAAGAGTCAACTGCATACTTTCTCTGTATAGCTCTCACTATACAGAAGAAGCAGATTATAGATTTCAGTTACTAGTGTTGGCTTTCTAAATGCATCTTTTATTTTCCACATGAAGTGAATGGCCTACAGGGATGACCTGATCAAGTAATAAAAATATAATAAACTACCAATGCGGATTTGAGAAAACCATTGTATATTCTATAAATTCTTATACTAAAGAGTAAATCAAGACTATTTCAACTTTTTTTTCAGTCTGTCTTAGTAGACACTAAACACAGAATGATAACTAGTTACTCTAAGGCACAGAAGTGCTAAAAATTATTTACATGAAGTGGATAACAGTAGGATGGGACCAAGTGTGTTAGAAGAACTTCTCAAAGAAGGTAACATCTGATATAATACAGGATTATATCATAGTGTTCTCAGCTGGTATGAAAGTAAGGGGCTATTTAAGAATATAAAACTTATTAACATGAAGCTATCATGTTTGAATTCTTCCAAGAACACCAAGGTATATATTTATTGAGCACTGTATCTACTGGTTGTATGTTTAACTCTCCACCATAAAAATTTAAATTTGTAAGGGTAGTTTAGTTTCTTCAACATGTCAAAAAGGAAATTACAAATTTACTGTAATTTGTATAACAGCTATAGAATCTCTTCTTCAAAAAACAAAGTGCAGTTTCCCCTCCTATATAATAACAAGGTCTTTAAGGAACACATAGATTCATAGTAAAGTTAATCCTAGATTTATAGATACCCACATAAAACAGTTAGGTGGTATCATTTTGGAAGTGTAAACTATGAAAATTTGAGGAAAAATATTCAAATTTACTAGTGCAAAAGTGACATATTCATTTTGGCCCTGCTGTTACATATATTTTTCTGTTAAAGTCAGCCATCAAATGGAAAATTCTTGGTATCCAGCAGAATGTTAAATTTAAGCAACTAGCAACAAAATTGGATCCCAGATGGATTGTTCTTTGGATTACATATATGCCAAAAATGGCAATGTAATCTCAAGAGAAACTTAGGATACACCGACAATGAACAGATTTTAAATCATATAGCACTTGAAATGTAGCAAGTCCAAATTGAGATGTTCTATAAATATAAAATGTATACTGGCTTTCAAAGAATTAGAAGAAAAGAGGAATGCAAAATATCTCACTAAAATTTTTATATTGAATATATGTCAAAATGCTAACATTTTAAATATATGGAGTTAAATAAAGGAAGTTAATTTCACCTTTTCTTCTTAACTTTTAATGTGGCTACCAAGAAATATAAAATTACATATATGGGTCACACTGCAATCTGTTGGATAGTATAGTTCTAAATGAATGAATTATGATGATCAGCTACTGATCTTCCAGATGCTTTTTGTATGACTGGCATAACATAAGGTTCATATAGAAATTTAAAAGAGAAAAAGACACAAATAAAAAGTTACCGCTAATGAAGGAGAAATTTAAAAAAATATTAATACTGAGGGCCTCCCCGGTGGCACAGCGGTTGAGCGCTGGGTTGCGAAGCTGCCTGCAGCCTCTGCAGCGCTGATTCAATTCCCGGCTGCTCCCCGGCCACCGGAGGAGGGTCCCATATGGCGCGCAGACCTCTCCTGCCGCCCCCTGCTCCCCTCGGCAGTGTACTTTGGTCGGTCCTTCTGCCCGTTCTGCTCCCGGCTCTGGCTCTGGTGAATTCTCTCACCCTCCCGCGCTTCTGTCTGTACCCAGTGCTTGTATAAATAAATAAATAAATAAACAAACAAACAAACAAATAAATAAATAAATAAATCTTTAAAAAAAAAAGTTAAAAAAAAAGAAATATTATTATTTGTTACTCAAACAAATGGTATGTTCAAATGAGCATACAATTAATACAGAATAAGGAATTTTCCCAAATGACTGAAAGCCATTTTCTATTCAGTTGAGAAGTTTGTGGTGGTCCAAGAAGGCATACTTATATATATTGGAGTAAGTAAATCTATTTCTAAGAATAATGCTTTTATTACTCACATTTACCTGATTAAAGGGTCCTAGTAATGAAACTATGTTTCTGGGTTACTGTGTACTGCTATGCTCGGTTATTTTCTTCTGGGGGTTCTGAGGGTTTGTACAAAGGCAGCCTTCTTTGACTTTGATGTCTTTTCTCCCATTTGTATAAGTTAGTTATTGTAATTCTTTTTTTTTTTAAAGGTTTATTTATTTATTTATACAAGCACTGGGTACAGTCAGAAGCGCGGGAGGGTGAGAGGATTCACCAGAGCCAGAGTGGGGAACAGAACAGGCAGATGGACCGAAGTACACTGCTGAGGGGAGCAGTGGGTGGCAGGAGAGGTCTGCGCGCCATGTGGGACCCTCCTCCGGTGGCCGGGGAGCAGCCAGGGATCGAACCGGTGCTGCAGAGGCTGAGGGCAGCTTCGCAACACAGCGCTCAACCGCTGCGCCACTGGGGAGGCCCTATTCTAATTCTTTTTTCCCCACCATCATGTCTTACACCCCACTTACCTTTCCTCCTTCCCCTCTCCTTCTTAGCCTCAGAATTCTCTATTTATTGTTTTTCACTAGTTTTACATAAATATTTTGCTTTGATGAATCATTTGCTATGTCCAATATTTGTCTTTGCCATTCTGATTTGCTTTACTGCACATAATGCCCTTGAATTCCTTCCATTTTACTGTAAATGGCAACATTCATCTTTCTTGTGGCTACATAGTATTCCATTGTGTAGATATATCACATTTCTTGAGGCAATTATTTTATCAGAGAGCACTCAGGTTATTTCTATATCCTAGCTACTGAAAATAATGCTGCAATAAACACTAGGGGATCTCATTTTTTGAGGTGATGGCTTTGTGTTCTTTGGATAGATGCCCAAGAGTGAGACTGCTGTGTCATATGGTATTTCCATTTTTAGTTTTTTAAGGTAATTCTAGATTGCTTTACAAAATGATTGCACCAGTTTACATTCCCAACAGTGTATGAGGGTTCCTTTTTCTCCACATCCTCTGCAACACTTGTTGGGGGGAGGGTCTTTTTAATACATGTCATTTTCATAGCTGTGACATAATTCATTGTGGCTTTAACTTATATCTCCTACATTAAAAGTGATAATGAATACTTTTCAAGTATCTATTGGTCTCTTGGAGATCTCTTTGGTGAACTGTCTGTTCAGGTCTGCTGCCCCCTTATCATTTGGGCTATTAATTTTTAAAATTGCTAAATTATGTAAGTTTTTAAGATATATATTGTTAATGTTAACCCTTTGTTGGTTGTGCACTGTGTGAATACTCTCTCTCATTCAATGGGGTGCCCTTTTAATTTACTTAAGTTTTCTTTCTCTATATAAAAACTTTTTACATAGAGAAAGATTATTCCAATTGTTTATTTTTTGCTTTTATTTCCCTTGCTATAGGGGTTGAGTCTACAAAAACACCTATCATTGATGTCTTGAAAGATACTGCCAGTGTTTTTCCTCTATATATTTTATTGTTGCAAGTCTTATATCTAAGTTTTTAAATCCACTTAGATTTCATCTTTGTGCATGAAGTTACAGGGTGATCCAAGTTCATTCTTTACCTGTGGCTATCCAGTTTTCCCAGTACCATTGATTAAAGAGACTCTCCTTTCTGCATTGTATGGTCTTGGTTCCATTATCACAAATTAAGTATTTATTTATTACACATTTATTTCTGATTTTGATTCTATTCCATTGATTCATGTGATTACTTACAGGTATATTGTTTTAATTACTGTTGCTCTGTAGGATAGTTTAAAGTCAGGTAAAGTGATGACTCCCTTTCTCTCCTTTTTTCTTAGGGGTATCTTTGCTATTCAAGGCTTTTCACAGCTTCATACAAATTTTAATTTTTTCCATTTTTCAAAAAGAATATTGTTGATATTTTGATAGGGATTGCTTCACATTTATATATTACTTTTGGTAGAATAGTCATTTGAACTATATTGATTCTCCCCATCCATGACAATAACAGACGTAAAATTTATGCAATACTGAAAAGTTTCGGACAGGGGAAAACTCATCATTAGAGCCGACCAACAAAAGAGAAAGGCTTTAAGGCAATTAGACTTATACCTATGTTACACGTGAACATTTTTCCTAAATGAAAATAAAACAGACCTCTAGTTTTTGGAACCTCCCCTTTCCCTAGGGACCACCCTGTTACATATCTATGTAATATTTGAACATTTTCCAAAATGAAAATAAAACAGCAGTAAAGCATGGGCAAGAAAAGCAAGATATAAACCAACTGCCACCGAAAATAAAAAAAGAAGCTTGTTATTTAAGGAAGCAAAAAGCAACATTTTTTTCTCTGACATAAAAGCTAAGAACAAAGGTGAAAATGGATTACCTGGGGATCGGAATGTATCTGAGTTTCTTTACTTGAAGATCAGTGACTTCAATATAACCAGCTGTTTGTGGAGGAGTAACATCTGCAAATAAATAATGGCATGAGTTGACCATCAAATTACTGCACAATATCAAACTTAGACCAAAAGAAAGCAAAAATGTTGTTAAAGTGGAAAGAAGTTATCAGCAGCTTAGGGCAGAACTCTTTAAGGCCTCTTGATAATGGCCTCTGCCAAGTCCAGCCTCAAGGCTAGTCAGAGTTGTTGTTTTCTGTTAGGGTCACAGTTCTTAACTGCCGGAAAAGAATCAAAGTTCTCCTCATCATCTTTGATAGATTTTCAAGATGGGCCAATGTTTTAGCACTTATGGTTTATTTGAAAATATTTCATCATCTGTATTCTGTTTTCCTTCGTAGGAAGTCACAATGACAGTGTAATATGGTAGAATCAGCATCTACTTTGTAATCAGACTGACCTGGTGTGACTCCTGGTTCTGATCTTTCCTACTTGTGTTTTATGCCGGTTAAGTAAGTTATAATTTCTCTGAGTTCTGTTTTTGTCATTTGTAAAATGGGGACAACAGCATCTAAGCATCACAGACATGATTTTGAGCATTAGATGAATTTAGTAAATGCAAAGCACCAAAACAGCAAATTAGCTTTCATTGCACAGTTGCTGTTATTTTTAGGGTCTTGCAAGACAGATGAAGGTGAGGTGAGGGTATGGCAATGGGATGAAAACTGTAGGTCTTGAAGAATATGAAAATGTGGGAGAAGAAGAGGGTAAAGAGATATGGGGACCAGAGCCTTCAATTCCAATCCCGAGTTGCTTCCCAGCAAATTCCAGGGGCTCACTGACTTCTGTGAACTTGAGCACCATCTCACCCTCCTCACTACTGGCTGCCACTGCCATTTTTCAGGAACTCTATGTAGTCTTTGTAGATAGTTTTAATGCTGATAACAACCAAGGACTTATGATTTCTGTTTGGGAGATGAGGAAGTTGAGGTTTATAGAGGTAATATAATAATGTGACTTGCTTGAGGGAAATGCTGGAGAGTGATGCAGATGGCCTTCAAACCCAGGGCTCTGGTTCTGTAATCTAGACTCTGTCCAACACTCCACATAGCACCACTTGAGTTGGCTCTATGGCCAACAATGACTTCCAATTGCTCCATTTTACAATGTCTTGGATAACGTTTCTTTTAAAAAAAAATTCCCCCTGCACAGAACCCAAACTTCTAAGGCTTTTGGCCTGCCTGTCTGACTCTGTCTGCCTTACTCTCTTCCTCTCCCTTACTACCTATCTACCCAGTCTGTTTTTTTAACAACTGTGATTAACATGAAATGGAGAGGATATCCGCACTGAATTTATCAAATGCAGTTTATAAAAAAAAGAAACTTGGCATTTTTATTTTATGTTTACACTTTAAGGTTTAGAGTAGGACATCTGAAAAACTCAAAACATCTCTCATTTATTCAAGAAATATGGTTGACTATGAAGTCATCAGCAGCCACTGTAGCGCGAGTTCAATCCCCAGCCAGGGAGCTAACCCACATGGCATAGCAGACCTCTCCTGTCTCTTCTGCTGCTCCCCTCAGCAGTGTATTTCAGTCAATCTGCCTTTTCTGCTCCCCACTTTGCCTCTGGTGAATCCTCTCACTCCCCCACACCTCTGGCCTACACCCCAGCTCTTGTATGTATAAATAAATACAATAAATATTTTTTAAAAATGTAGTTGAGCTTACTTTATACCAGCATTATACAGACGCTGGGAATAGAAAGAAAATAGATATGGTTCCTGTCACATCTGAGGAGACTACAGCACAAAGAGAAAAATTCCTTTAAAAAACAAACAAAACCACTGTGGGTCTTTGGGGATTTGAAAAAGACTCCAAGGTGGGAATGACAGGCCAGAGACCACTTGTGGACTGTAGAGCCAGGCAAGGAGTGATCCCAGGGGACAAAGAGGTTAGGAGGAAGGGAAGGTAATATTCAGGGATGGCAGAAGGTAAGAAGAATTACTTTGGTAATATGACCACCTAGCTGGAATGACTGTCCCTAGATGGCCATTTGTGTGAAATGAACATGTTTATCATAAGTCACGCACTGCCTGATTTGGAAATGCTAAGGTCAGTCTTGGATAAAGCTTTGCATCATGTATCATTTTTGATAGCTTCTGCTGCTAGGACCTAGCTGAAGTAGATTAAATTATTTAAAGACTCAGGCTCTTTGCCAAAAATGACTAGTTATTGAAGCGCTTGGAATATCTAGAGATCCCTCACTAACCAACTTACATTTTGGCATGCCACTTATAGTCATTATTTTAAAAATAAGTAGTAGTATTAAGTTGAGCTATTGCCATCAGCACTTTTAGATTGCCTGTGAAAGCAAAGTAAGTCAACTTTATTTAGAATACCTTTTTCCTACATCTTTCTTTTCTTTCATTGTGCAAATTAATTCCATGGCATAAATTGGGTGAGAAAATGTAATAATGGCTGTGTCTATTTCAGGAAGGAGAAAGCAAGAATTTTACTCTTGGTGCTAAAAAATATTTTCACATATCACAAAAGGCAATTTGTGGATATAAGCACTTCAATAATATACTAAGGGTGGTGGTAGTGGTGGCAGTAACAGTAAACACTTGAAAAATAATCAGAATTGATGTTTACTGATTTGAAAATAAGTCATCTCAGGATATATGATTGAATTAAGGAAGTAAAGATGACGGCTAGATTTTCCTCCAAACTTAGCCAAATCCTCGTCTATCCACTTTAAAGGTTTCAACACTGTAGAGACTCAGTAAATTTCCATTACATTTATAATCCAGGTGGATTTCAAAGATACATATAAATTACATTTAGGGATTAGTTCACTAATGATTAAGGAAAGTCATGCGGCAGTGTTTACTGCACAGTGCCCCCACAGTGGGACAGCTGACATGCACAGTGCCAAGGTTAGGGGCGGATGAAAACTGTCAGCAGCACAACCAAGAACAGAGGGAAAATGAAACTATATTTAAAAATTCACTAGTATTTTGATACTAGTAGTTTGATGTACACCTGCTAATCACTTATCTTTTGCACTCTGCCTGTGTTCACTGATTAAAAGAGTGATGAGTGCTCTATGGTCATGCTGATACCAAATATTTGAATGTATTTAAAGTTCTAAAAACAGTGTCCTGCTTTTAATCAAGGGACATTATTTTGTGTTTATAGAGCTAAGGCCTGTGATTAAAAAAAAAAAAAAACAAAACCAAAATGCTAATATTTAACTAGAAGAAAAACAATCAGAAAAAAGGAGTAAATATATTTCCATCTGCCTTAAACAAAAGTTATACCATCTTTGTGAAAACCAACAGGAGATAGGCTTTATATTATAGTTTCTACTGATTTCTTCAATAAAATGTGATAGGCATTAGTTCCTGATTAATCAAATGGTTGGATTCTATTTACTAAAAAAAAAAATCAATTTAGTTGATTTTCATGAGAGAGAGACTTAGATTTCATAGACACATAAAGAGTCAAACAGTTTGAAAAAGAAAACAGTCCCTGTTTTACTTCTCTAATCCCTCATCGACTCTTCCTGGGGATACTTTCAACTTTTGAATCTGATTTTTTTAGGTTTCACCTTCATCCTTAAGGTGCTGACTTGATGTCTAAGCTACAGGCATTACTTACTGATTTCTCACCATGTAAGATCAGAGTTTTATTCTTTTGTCTACTCATTCCTGCCTGACACTTCATTTTCTTATCCCCCAATATATTTATATGATAATTTTAGTTAGATTAACATCCAATGCTTATATTAGGAGTATATAAATGCTATTCATAGCTGGGCTATGTCTTACAGTGTTAGTGCTTTTTCTTTCCTGTACAACTTTTTCTTTTTTATGTTTTCTTGGCTTAGTTTTTCACATACTTAGTATAGACTCATCCTAAAAGTGCCCTTGTCAAAATCTTTAAATATGTTCAAATAGATCAGGTTTATTGATCCAATCTATGGACACTGGAGGCATCTCTTCTGAAATATTCTCATCTGTTCTAATTCAACCAGTTGATTCCCTAGGCTGATGTACAGCTATCATCCTGGGATCCCTCCTTATAATTCTCCTGAGATTTCTTTTTAAAGCCCCTATTTTTAAAATTCTTCCTATGTGCCAGAAACTGTTCTAAGAATTTTATATATGTTTATAATAAAGGACCACTATTTAAACAAATGAGGGGAAATAAAACTTCTAATAACCAAAAGAAAAATGGCACATGTACATAGGCAATTCTCACAAAGGTAAATCACAATATATGAAGATATGTTCAAACTTAGTAGTTCTCTGATACAGGGAAAGGCAAAGTGAAACCATAGTAAAGTGTCTAACTCCTACAAGAGAAGATAAAGATAGAAAGCACCAGGATTTTTTTTTTAATGCTGCTGGAACAATTTATTTGGGAAATAATCTGGTAATTCTACCCCATAGTCTGTCAACACATACACAAGGAAACTGGTACAAAATATTCATAGCTCATTACTTATAAAAGCAAAAATTGGTAAGTACCCAATGCACACCAACAAAGAACTGATGAAAAAATTGCCAATAGTACAGGAGGGAAAGGGAAGCGGAACTGTGAGTGGGGATGACAAAGATTCTCTGCTTAATCAAACTCTAATCAGGTTCTTTTGGATCCACTTCCCAACTCAGTTCCAATTTTTGGGTTTCTGTGTTCATATCTGTATTGCCCAATTTTAGGAAGAGTTCTGCTAAATTAACTTAACCCCACTCTCAAAATGTGATCATGCGCGATATCTGATCAGACTCTTCTTCCTCTTCTTCAGGTCATGTCTGGTCACTCTAGCCTGCCTTCCTCAAGAAATCTGTAGGTCAATTTAGCCAGAATCTTTCCTTATTCCTGATTTCCTCTTACGACTTTTCCAACTTCTTATCTCCACCAACAACATTGGAGGCTCCGTACAACCAGATTTTAAGACTTACTGTAAACTATAAAGCTGGAAAACTAATAGAGTGTGACAGTAGTGAAGGTATAGATATGAGAATAATGGATCACAACAGAAAATTCAGAAGTAGACTCAAACATATGTGGTCTGTTGATTTTCAGCAAAGATCTAAAGTTAACTCAATGGGGCCTCCCTGATGGCGCAGGGGTTGAGCGCTGGGTTGCAAAGCTGCCCGCAGCCTCTGCGGCGCCGGTTCGATCCCTGGCCGCTCCCTGGCCACCGGAGGAGGGTCCCGCATGGCGCGCAGACCTCTCCTGCCGCCCGCTGCTCCCCTCAGCAGTGTACTTCGGTCCTTCTGCCTGCTCTGCTCCCCTCTCTGGCTCTGGTGAATTCTCTCAGCCTCCTGCGCTTCTGACTGTACCCAGTACTTGTATGTATGTATGTATGTATGTATGTATGTATGTATGTATGTATAAATAAATAAATAAAATCTTTTAAAAAAAAAAATAAAGTTAACTCAATGGAAAAAGGACAGACTTTTCAGCAACTGGTGCTGGAACAATATTTCCATGCAAAACAGTGAGTCTCAATACATATCTTGTACCATATAAAAATTAAATAAAAATGGAGCATAAGTCCAAATGTAAAATCCACAACTATAAAATTTCTAGAAAAAAATAAATGAGATTATAGCTTCATCAAAATGCAAGAAAATTCTGATATTGGACTTATATTTACACTCAAAATCCCTTCAAAGGAAAACGACACAATTTAAGAAAAGGGTATATGCTCCAAAGAGACATTTCACTGAAGAAAATACACCTAACAAGATGTTCAACATCATAATGTATTAGGGAAAGACGCAAATTAAAATCGTAATGAGCTATCACTATATACCTATTGGAAGGTGGAAAAATGGACAATACCAAGTCCTGGCAAGGAGGCAGAGCAAGTGAACTCTCATTTCACTGCTGACAAGAAGCCAGAAAAGTATTGTCACTTTGGAAAACAATTTGGCAATCTTTTCATGTCCTTAAAATGTCATTCCTAGATATTTATCCAAATGAAACAAAAATTTATGTTACTTAAAAATTTGTAGACAAATGTCCATAGTGATCTTATTTGTCATTACCAAAAAGTGGAAACAATCCAAATATCTATCAAATGACAAAATGGAGATTTGAAGACTAAAAGAATTTACACAAGTGATCAATGTAGAATCTGGCATACAGTAAATAATAAATATCAGTTGGCTTTGAGAGCACTGATAACTGAATCAGCCTGCATAAGCCCTGGTGTTTAGTCACAGGAGTGTAAGACAAAAGTCAGGCCTCATTTTCTATGCCTAGCATACTCATGTGTCCACTTGAAGGTAAGGATACATTCTAAAAGATATATCGTTAGGGGATTTTGTCATCATTTGAATGTCATAGAGTATAATTACACAAACCTATATGGTATATGGCCTATTCTCCTCCTAGCTTATATGGTTAGCCTAGTGGGACCACTGTCATATGTGAGGTCTGTTATTGAACAGCACAGCATTAAGCAATACATGATTGTATTTCAATAATTTTTAAATGTCTCTTTGAGAGCATATTCTAGGTAAATGCATTGTATTGATTTTAATACTAATGACTGAGTTCTAATAGCAATGACTACAGCCACATTCAGCAAAAATTTCTGAGGTCTTTTCAGCTACTTCTAGACCATTTTAGTTATCCACACTTATAAATATAGGATGATAATGATAAATTAAATATTCCTACCAAAAGAATTACCTCTAACCACTGTGTTTCTTACCTTTTGGGTAGATATCTTTTAGAGGAACTTCTCCTGGAGGCACAATCCTGACTATCTGATTAGTATCCAAAAGAGTCACACAATTGCTCTGTTTTGCAGTTCCATTTTTCTTCTTTCCTCCATAGAATACTGTATCAGTGATTCCTGCTTTATGTAAAGATGACGGCCTTTTCCAAGAATAAACTTCACTGGGTGACTGGATAAAAAGAGATTAAAATACTATATAAAATATTCACCACAACCTTTATAATGCACCCCTTTAAGCGAATGCCAGTGGTAAATTTGTATTTCACAAGTATAAGAAAATCAAATTATTCCCTAACCTTTTAAAATTTGGTACATTCATACTTTTCTTTTTCACATTTAAATGCTTAACCCATCAAAAATTTATTTTTGTTTATGGTATGAGGCAGGAATCCATGTTTATCCTTTTTTCACATGGGTAGGTAGTTGTCCAGATACAATTAACCTTTTTCTTCTGATATGCAATGCTATTATATAAAGATATATAAAGACAGTAGAACTGTCTTTAGATAGAATGATCTTTAATTAAAGACTTTAGTTAAAAAAAGACTTTAATTAAAAAAATTAAAAGTAGAACTACCATATTATCCAACAATTCCACTTCTGAAGAAAATAAAAACATTAATTCCAGAAGTCACCTGCACCCTCATGTTCATGACAGCATTATTTATAATAGCCAAAACATAGAAATAACCAAAGTATCCATCAGTGAATGAATGGATAAAAAAGTGATGTTTATTTTCAATGGAATATTATTCAGCCATAAAAGAATGACATGTTGCCATGTGCAACAACATAGATGACACTTCTGTTAAGTGAAATGTCACATAAAGAAAATAAGTATCTTATGATACCACTTATATGTGAAATCTAAAAAAAACAACAAACCAAGCTCATAATTTGAGAACGGATTAGTGGTAATCAGAGGAGGGGATGGGAGGAGGGCAAAATGATGGAGGTCAAAAGGTGCAAACTTTTAATTATTTAAAAAAATTAGTTATGCTGATGTAAAGTATAGCATGGTGACTATGGTTAATGATACTGTTTCACATATTTGAATGTTGCTGAAGAGTAGATTAAAAGTTTTTATCATAAGGAAACAATTTGTAACATATATGATGAATAAAATTAGCTAAATTTATTGTGGTGATCATTTCACAACATATACAAATATTGAATTATTATATTGTATACCTGAAACTAATATGTTATATAGTAATTATACCTAAAAAAAGTGAGAGGGCAGATATAAAACAAAAAACAATAAAACACAGTTCTATAAATGGATGCATCAGTTTCTTGCCATCCCAAGGTCCTCTTTGGTGGAGTATCTGTTCAAGCTTTTTACTATTTTTTCCTATACCTATATATCTATTTATGCATATCCAATTTTATTTCCAGAGCTATTTGAATACATTGAAAACTATGAGTTCACATAAATAACCCAACAACTATAGGGGCTATTCTGATTTTTTTTCTTTTTGTATCTGTAACTCCCTTCTTCAACACTGAGAAATCTTGACTTCATTACCCTTATTATTATTTTCTTGCTCAGTTCCACCATATGTGATTCATTTCCCAACTCCAATACTAACTTTCCCTCTTTGGCACATGTCATCTTCATTCTATCGACCCTGATAGCCTACAATGAGCTCTGCTCATATAAGGACACCTTCCTCACCTTACTTGTGCCCTCACATCCCACAGAAGATTGCCTCTTCACAGGCAAACATCTTTTTTCTACTTTGACTTGGTTCACATTACCAGTGGTTACCTCTTCCCCCACCAAGGATGTCCTTACCTTCTCAGGTTCTGACACCTCACCCTGGGCTACTGCTAGGCCATAATTATATTGGATAATTTGACTTACTATTGAGTTTTAAGAAATCTTCATATATTCTAGACACATTGTTGGACATGTGATTTGCAAATAGTTTCACTCAGCCTATAGATTGTCTTTTATTTGCTTAACAGTGTCTTTTACAGAGTTCACTTTTTTTTTTAAAGATTTATTTACTTATTTATACAAGCACTGGGTACAGTCAGAAGCGTGGGAGGGTGAGAGAATTCACCAGAGCCAGAGCGGGGAACAGAGCAGGCAGAAGGACTGAAGTACACTGCTGAGGGGAGCAGCAGGCGGCAGGAGAGGTCTGTGCGCCATGTGGGACCCTCCTCCGGTGGCCGGGGAGCAGCCGAGGATGGAACTGGCACTGCAGAGGCTGCGGGCAGCTTCGCAACCCAGCGCTCAACCGCTGCACCATCAGGGAGGCCCAGAGTTCACGTTTTTAATTTTGAAGAAATTCAATTTATCAATGTTTCCTTCATGGATCATATTTAAGATACTCAGTGTAATGTTTACCAGAAGGCCTTTTATTTGGATATTTTTCTGGTTTTCTAGAGATGAGCCTGTAGTTCTTCCCTGTTATTGCTTCTTTTCTTTTGCTGCATCCCAAAGAATTTGGTATGTGGTATTTTTTATATTATTTATTTATTTTAACATTTATCATTTTTTTTTTACATTTTTTGGACAATATTTGCTATCCCCCACCCCCTCAGATTGAATCCCCCTAGAATTTCCTTCCCCAAGGCACTCATGTACCACATCACCACAGTTCCCTGTGCTCCTGACTCCCTCCCTCTCACCCTTTCCCTCCTCTTCCCCTGCAGTATGTCTCTAGTTTATAATTGTCTGTTTTTGCTTTGTTGTGGTTTGTACTGTTATTATTATTATTTTTTACACTGATGTCTTATTTGGTTCCCCTATATTCCTGTTATAAGTGAAACCATCCGATATTTTTCTTTTTTCCTTCTGGCTTATTTCACTGAGCATAATTCCTTCTAGCTCCATCCACATTGCTGTGAATGGCATGAGTTTATCTTTTTTGATGGCTGAATAATATTCCATTGTGTACAAATGCCACATCTTCTTGATCCAGTTATCTATTTTTGGGTGTGGTATTTTTCATTGTCATTCATCTCTAGATACATTTTGGTTTCTTCTTTGATTTCTCTGGTGACCCAATAGTTGTTTAGTAGCATGTTTATATATTAATTCCCTTATATATACATTCTTCCATTTTTCTTCTTGTATTTAATATCATTGTAGTATCATTTAATATCAATGATATCATTATAATAATATAATATAATATCAATGATATCACGTAGTATCAATGATATCATGTAATATCATTGATTCTTATATTTTGATTTTATTAATAATTTATTAAGATTTAGTTTGTGTCTCAACATGAGATCTATCCTCGAGAATGTTCTCCATATGTACTTGAAAAGAATGTATATTATTCTGCTTTTGAACACAACTGTTCAGTATATATTTACTTTCTCCATGTGGTCTAATGTATCATTTGAGAAATCACCATTTATAGTATAATTACTTATATGGTAAGTCAGAGCAAAACTCAGTGGAAAGTAAATTGAAGTCCATGAGTTTTGAAAAATTTACTCTATAGTAATAGTTATAATAGACTCCAATAAACACCTTAAAAATTCTGTAAGTCATGTTATTTTAATAGTCTCAAATTGTTCCTCTTGACAAATTATACACACACATTAAGACAACATGATATAAAATCACTACTAGTGGGTTAAGCATTTAACTGTTTCTCCTGAACTCCCATGTATGAAGAATACAGGTTTTCCCTTACTAAATTATATAATTACATTACACTTCTAATGTTAATTTTTAAAAAGCAATGGAACTCCATAGGCAGAATACTTTTTAAATGACTTACTTGGAACTCAGACTTGATTTGAAATGTATACCAGAATAGCATTACATTTTTAATTACCCCCTTGATCGGAATGATAGATTATAAGCCAAATTGAGGGGACAAAATATTTATTCAACAACTTAAAAAACAGATGCTTACCATGAGATCTGGAAAACCAATGACAATTGTAGCATAATTTTGCTCATCTGAGAGAATTCGGTTAGGAGAAGCAATCTTTTGTCCCACAGCTGAACTTAGATTTTCAGATGACAGTTGATCACTTGAAATTGTATGAGGTATGCTGAAATCTGCTTCTGAAAAGCATCAGAGAAACATTAGACACCATATTCTTCTAAAAATATTCTAAGAAGTAATTTTTGCATGATTTCATTCTCATCAACTCAAAAAGAAAAACTCAAGTTAAAGAAAAGAGAAAGATATTTAAGGCCCTTTGAGAAAACTCAGTTTTTACAACCATGGCATCTTCCAAGGTAATTTCAAGTATATATGGAATTCAAAATTTTATTAGCAATAAGTATTATCATAATTTGTATTTACCTTGTGTAACTCCAAATCCTGTGCTAGGAGGCTCCTCTTTCAACAAATACAACTGGCAGATGCCACTATCCTCAGATTCGATGTGTGCAGGCTTAGTTAAAAGATATTTCCTGCAAACAACAAAAACATCTAAGTGAAAGTTTTTCTTTTTCTAATAATCACGAGACCAGAATGGGGAAAATCAGATTTTCTTTTCCTTCAAAGCCTCTATTATGTAATTTTCAGTGTCAGATTTTATCATGAATTAGCAAGTGGCTTCTCAACACTGTGTATAAAGAACAGAGAATAGTAAGAATTCTCTGTAATAAATTGTAAACTAAATGTAATAAATGTGAGCAGTAATAAATGTAAACAAAAAATCCAACACTTCATATAAGAGGAAGGGCTGTACAAAAAAAAGGGGACAAAAAGCAACTCCAATAGGACATATCCTAATTATCATGGAGCCTGCTGTGATAAGACTTTATGATCATTAGTAAGTGGAAGTCTGATTTCTGATTTGTGATCAGTTAAGGGACAGATTTCTGCACCACCATAAACCAATCTATTTATTTTTTAAGATTTCTAAAATAGGGTGTATAAAAAGCCAGAAATCTTTTGCAGTAGGCTACTTCTGTGTGTTGCTGAGGGGCAGAGACAGTCTGCATTTAGCTGTAGATGTGACAGTACAGAGAGGAGGGATTCAAAGTTCACTATGTACCCTATTTATATCATGTGTGCATAATATCCCTTTCATGGGGCAATGTACAGTCCAATGGTGGAGGGGGGGAGAAGACAAAACAAACATAAATAGAATCAAATGAAAATACACAGGATAAAAAAAGAAGAAACTTTTAAGGGTAGATTCCTTGAAGTTATAAAAAAAAACCCCACAAAAAATCACTAGCTTTAGGATGGAGAATGTGATCCTTTTAAGAGAAAATAAACTGTAAATCTACTTTGAAGCATCTCTGCTTTGTCAATTCAGTGAATTCTCAATGTGCTAACAGAAAAGAGCCCGAGGAAATATGGATCATACATAAAAGTCATTATACTTTTACTGTTAATTACAATGTCATTCTCTGAAAGACTTTTACTCTGTGAAGTCACATTTGATTTATTTTAGTCCCCCAACCTAGCCTTTCTTCTAACTTTCACCTATAGAGTACCTGCCAAATACAGTTAATATTAAAAGACAGACACAGGAAGACAGTAAGGATGTAGGATAATTGATATATTAGGTTGAGTTATAGCACATGATACTGTGTTGAATCACCCACTGATTTGTTTTGTTCTCCACTAGAAGCCATTTGTCCTCTGCCACGAGAAAAACTGTCTTGAGGTTGATGGGAAGTGAGATGGTGTGAGTTCGCCCTTCTAGGACATCCAGCACAGTCAGGCTGTTCCTGCAAAAGGAGAAGAAAACTATCTGAAATGGTGAGGATAGTGGCTGAGTAACCATGGCATAATCATTTTGTGAATTCTTATGCAACTTTAAAAAGAATGTTTCGAAGACTAAGTAATAATATAGAAAAATGTTAACTGAGAAGACATGCACAGATTCTAAACTATGAAAGAGTGTGCATAAGAAGGAGTAACAGAAAGGGAAAGCTGCCATTCTAGAAGTGATTGTATTCTGGAGTAATGAACACTATTATTTCTCAAGTTTATTTTTCAGTGTTCTACAATGTGGGATGAGTTATTTTATAATAAAACATTTATAATTTGCTTACATTTGTTTTATAACAAACAAGTATAATTAGAAGATGAAATGGAGTGGACAAAATAAGAACCTAGTTTAAATGTTCTACAATGAAGAGCTCACCCTTTTTCTTTGTAGAATACTAGCCAGTTTTGGTGTGAAAATTCTTTACACATTTTGTAAGTTTCCTAAAGACAAAACAAAACAAATGATTCATATTAAATGTGTCAGATACAATCATATCTCTTCAGCTGCTTTCTCTCAAAGTTCTTGAATGTGTAAGACATGTAATACTCTAAGAAGACATGTAATACTCTAAAGCTTTACCTACTTTAAAACTCTTATGGTAACACGGATTTAAGTATGTTTCCAAATTTACTGCAAACCACACACTAAAACCCCTTCAGAATAAAACTTTTAAAAATAATGCTAAATTCTATTTAGAAATAAACATGTTATCTGATGAATAAATACACAGGAAATATTTTATTTCTTAGATTTGGATAATTTATTTGAAAAATCCTTTCCATCACTTTGAAGACCTAAGTATGTTGTTGTGCAGGACACAATATATTTTATATCCTTTACCTTTTTCTAAATGGCAGAATAAATTCTCTTGTGTTGACCTAAAATATTTTGTAGTTTAATAAAATAAATTTAGTAGATACAATCAGGAGTTACACTTATGGATTTAGCCTATAAGTTCAAAACATTAACATACATATTGAACTAGGAAACTGGTTAAAGTGACTGCATGATTAGGAATTTGTCACCAATATCACACTCACATAGCTCATGGTGTTCTATTATTATTAGTTCAGTTCTGACAATTCTTTATGTATGTGTGACAATTCTTTATGTATGTGTTCTGACAATTCTACTAGTATTCTATATATGTGTATCTGTATCTATTTTCATCATGCTAAAATCTACAAATGCATATTAAGAGAAATCTTATTGAAAATAAGGCACAGAAAGGGATGGGCAGGCATGCATCTTTATGGTTAGAAAGTCATAGAAAATACTTGGCAATTTGCTCAACAAGATTAGTATTCCTTACAATTTCCTGCTGGAACCTGTTCCACCCAGAAGGTTTCTTGGATGTCATCTCTTCTGAAGGGAGGATGAGACGACGAAGGGTTTGGTTGGTGGTGTCTAGCAATAGGATGATATTGCTCTGCAAATAAAGATAACAGTGAAAAGCTCAAGATTTGATCCTATTTTTAAAAAGCAGAAACCTCTTGGCAACCTGGGAGTAAAGGTTATAATGATAAACTAAAGGGAAGCCAACAAAGTTGAGATATTTTAGGGATACCATGAAGATATGAAATGATTTTCCTTAATAGAGAATTTAAAGTTTTAGACAGTTTTATGAAGATATTTCTATATCTGTAGTGCATAAAGTATCTCTTAGAAGATTTTATCTTAAACTTCTAAATCTAGGCTACCTTAACCATAATTCTGTTTTATTATCAGTAATGAGGAAATTAAGAGATTTGTGATCTTTATTTTTTTTTTTTTAAGATTTATTTTTATAAGCACTGGGTACAGTGAGAAGCGCGGGAGGGTGAGAGAATTCACCAGAGCCAGAGCAGGAAGCAGAGCAGGCAGAAGGACCAAAGTACACTGCTGAGGGGAACAGCGGGTGGCAGGAGAGGTCTGCGCGCCATGTGGGACCCTCCTCCAGGGCCAGGAAGCAGCCGGGGATTGAACCGGCACTGCAGAGGCTACAGGCAGCTTCGCAACCCAGTGCTCAACCACTGCGCCACCGGGGAGGCCCGAGATTTGTGATCTTTAAAAGCCCATTTACTTGTCTCAAAATTATATTTCCTCAAAAATAAAAGAAGTTTCTGTTGAAAACTCTCTAATATCATGCATAATTAGATCCCATGTATTCTTTTCACTAATTCAGGTATAATTCAGAAGATATGTACACGATAAAAAGATAGATGAGCAAGAAAATATCAAGAACCTAGCTAGTGGGCCTCTCTAGTGGTGCAGCAGGTTGAGTGCTGCGCTGTGAAGCTGTCCACAGCCTCTGCAGCCCGGGTTCGATTCCTGGCCAGCCAGGGAGATACCCACACGGTGCGGCAGACCTCTCCTGTCTGGTCTGCTGCTCCCCTCAACAGGGTATTTCAGTCAATCTGTCTGTTCTGCTCCCTGCTCTGTCTCTGGTGAATCCTCTCACCCGCCTGCACATCTGGCCTGTACCCCGGTTCTTGTATGCATAAATATATCTTTAAAAAAAGAACCTACCTAATAATGAGTGTTTCTTAGTGAAAGCTTCATTCACTAAGCTTTAAGAACTTTTAAAGCTTGTGCTAGATTTCTCCAGCATTGTTAATTACAGATATGCAAATGAAGTAATAGTTGCCCAATAATTTAAATATTTTAAAATAAACTTTAAGCATTACAATAGCACCAAAAAAACCATGAAATACGTTAAAATTGAGAAAATCAGAAAAGAAGTAAATATTTTAGAGATGCATAGAAATTGGCTTTTTTAGTTAAAATTTAAAGACTTGAAAATTAAACTCACTAGTTTGCTAAAAGCACCTGTAAGTTGTTTGTCAGGCCTCATTGTTACGCAAATATCTTATTATTTCTTTCTTTTTTTGTCTTCTTATTCTAAATTTGGGCTCCTTTAGTTATCTTAACCCTTATGAAAGTTTCATTTCAAGAACTTTCTTTTGGGAAAATACACAAAATACTCGAAGAATTAATATATATTTGGTATATACATATTAAAATAAAGGTAACAAAATATGAAATGTTCATTTGTTGCATAATATTTGAGTAGATTATTATACTAAAAGCAGATAGGAGAAAACAAGGATGAGTTAACCATGGGCCTTGACCTCCATTATGTAATTCAGTTAGAGAGAAATAAAAAGAAATGTAAAAAGATTACTGACTCATCTGCAAATATAGGATCTCATAGTGTGGTTTCAAATTTATTTTTACTTGCTAATTTTATTAAAGTGCTCAGGAATTAAAGCAGTATTCATGCCACGTAGTTTCCTATGATCTATATACTCTGAACCTTGGCTGTAATAAGACATTCTATGAAGCATGTTGATAAAGCTTAAAGTTTTTTGCAAACCTTATCCTTAGAATGCATCATTCAATATAATATATAGTTTTCCACTGAGTGTGTTAGGAATAGTCTTTCTAAAATTAGTATTTCATATAAGAAGCATAGCATTATTCCTGTATTTCAACATTTGAAAATGGTAGTGAAGGGCCTCCCTGGGGGCCCAAAGGGCTAAAAACAGTACTATGAAGCTATCCACAGCCTCTGCTGCATGAGTTCAGTCCCTGGCCTGCCAGCGAGCTACTCACATAGCGCAGCAGACCTCTCCTGTTTTACCTGCTGCTCCCCTCAGCAATGTATTTCAGTCACTATGCCTATTCTGTTTCTCACTTTCTCTGGTGAATCCTTTCACCACCCCACACACCTCTGGCCTGTACCCAGTTCTTATCTGCATAAATAAATCTTAAAAAAAAAAAATTAAAAAAGGAGAAAATGGTAGTGAAGTCTTAATGTTTCCTTTAGAAAACATATTAATAAGTTAAAAAATCAGTTTCCATTCTAGAGTAAATCTTTTTGAGTTTTTTTATAGGAGAAACTCTATCTTATATGATAAATATATTCATATATACACACAAATTAACATTAACATTAACATAACTTCTTAGCACTTTAAAAATCTGGGATAACATGAACTTTTCTAAGCAAAAGAAAATTTCTAAAAATTGATCCTAAAATATGATTAAGCAGAAGAATAAGCAGATCATTAAGGAGATATGATTAAGCAGAAAAATAAGAACAGTTTTGCATTTTTCTTCCTTTTTAGGGTCTAAAACTTATATACTCATAATATGGCAAAAGTAACAGCAAGCATATATTTCTAGCCATTGCTGTATTTAGAATTAGTTTTAGAAGTAATTGGCAACATGAAGGAGTTCTGTTGCTCTCTCCTTTTAGATGTTAATAGTTTCCTTCTGTAAATGACTAATGATATATTCTGTCTGAGTTTAAAAATAGAATTTTGCGTCACACATGAGTACATGTAACTGTGGCTTTGGCACTCCTTTAAGGGGGGCAGAGAGAGAGAAGCAAGTGAGTGATTTTATAATGTTTGTATTTGACTGGGAGAAAAGTAACCTCTGGATGACCTCAATGTCCCAAAGTCTGAAATTCTAAACTTTGTACAGATGTAATAAGTAATCTCTTGGGGCGGGGGATGTCTTTATTTTTAGTCATGGCAAAGTTTCCCTTTCCTCACTTAAGGTTTTATTTTAGCAAAGAATTTTTGAACAACTTCTAAAACTAACCAGGGAAATGCATCCATGGCAAAGTTTTATTTTAAAAAGCCCAGGGATAGGATAGATGAATTAATGGAAATACTTCTCTATAATATTTTAACTCCATTTTTAGTTAGTGAAGAATGAGGAAGAAATAATTGATGGCAGCGTATTCAGTTTTTATTCGATTAATTTCCCCATTTGTTAAATTTTATAGCTACACGCTATTCATTTGGACTTACAAAGGTCTTATATCCTAAAAGGGCCACAATATAAAACAGCAGCTGAGATATCTTCTCTGGGAAAAGAAGAGGTAGTTTCAAGGAGAAAGGAAGAGTAGCAGTATCCAGATAAGCTGTGTATTGCCTGCTCAGGGTACTGAGGGAGATCTCTGAAAAATGGTTAAAAATGTGGTCAGGGGTATAAGGAAGGCAGCATGTAAGAATGCCAGGAGGCAAAGTGCTCCTATGAAAGATAAGGACATCTTTATAAGGAAAAAAATATTATCTTTGATAATATGTTGTAACTGAACAGAGTATTAATCATCAATGTTGCCACATAATTGGATCTTTTGAGAAAATAAAATACTTGTTGAGCCCCTAAAAATCTAGTATTTTCAAAGAATTGCTATATAAAATTTTGAGTTAACTTGGCAGCTAAAAATATGACAGAACTGCCTGAATAATACCCCAAATTTCGATTCTTATCCAAAGTTGATTCACTTACTGAATTAAAAATCACTAAGATGTCATTGTTTTTTACGGAAGAATTTTCTGAATATAGAATTCAGTTCAATGCCACTGATATTTTGTTGGACTCTATAAAAGTAAAATAGTTGTTATGATCAGTTGGACACAAACTTTTATAAGCAATATCTGATTGTTTATAAACTGCTTGTAGGAGAAAATGAAAGTGAAAAACAAATGAAAATCAGAAAAAAAATATTAACTAAGAATTTATAATAGTTATTTTGGCAAAGTCTAAAAGTAAAGTAGACTTATTTACTTAGTGAACTAATAACATGTTATTTATGTAATCTTTCCTTAATTAGACAGTCAAGAAGTATTGTTTCTTGGTAACACTTTGCTCTCATAGTGACTTTAAATACAAATGCAAATGACAACCCTGCATTTCTTTAGTATTCTCCAATTGCTAATAGTTTTATTTTTTTCATACTATTCTTTTCCCCAAGTATCTGCTGTGAGTGGATAAAGTTTGAATCTCAGCTATCTTTGATGGGTAAGTTGTTTAAACTCTCTGAGTCTTAGTTTCTTTACATGTATGTATATATAAAAAATTAAGTTACCTCAGTGCAACTGGAATAATAACATGGGATAAATGTTAAGAAATCTTTCACTTGGCATATTGCCAGCATTTAACACTATATCCTTCTCTTTGAGACATCATCACTTGCTTTCCAGGATATCCTGTGCCCCAGTTTACCTGTGTACTTCAATGACCACTCATTTTCAATCCCCTTGGTTGATTTCTCCTCACCTCCCTGATATCAATATCTTACTGTCTTGCAACTTACTGTTTGGATTTCTTAGTCCATAGTCATTCTTTGGGTGACCTCTTTCGAGCTCATGGTTTAAATAACATTATGCCAATGACTTCCAAATTTATATTTCCTGTCTCAACTCTCCATTGAACTCTAGACTCTTCTACTTGGATGTCTAATGTTTAAATAGGCAGCCCCTCCCCCCTCTCCCACCCCAATAGATTCTTTCTTCTCAGTTGATGGCAATTCAGTTAGCATCCCTTTAGTTGCTCAGGCCCTAAACCATGGAGTTTCTCTAATTCTGTTTCTTACCATACAACTGATTTGTTGGTCCTACTTTCAAAATATGTTCAAAATCCATTCTTACTTTTGACCTCTGTCTTCCTCCAAACTGCCATGATCTCATTGCCATTGTCTAGCTCATTGCAAAAATCTCTTAACTATTTTCCCTTAGTACTTTTTCATCATAGAGAAGCCAGAGAAATCCTTTTAAAATATAAGTCAGATCATGCTGCTCCTCTGTTTGAAACCCTCTAACACTTTCCCCTTCCATTCACTGTCAGGGCCAGGACATTCCAATGGCCTATAAGGCTCTACACAATTTGCTCCCCATCCCCACTGACATGCCCCCTACCTCAACTCACTTTAATCTCTTTTGAGCTCCCTCTTTCATACTCTTCCCCTCATTCAATCTTCCCCACCACAGTCTTTGGGTTTAATGCCCTTATAAAAGAGATCTCTTGCTTCCTTTGCCATGTGAGGTTATTGTGAAAAGATGGTTCTTGGGAAGAAAACTACCACCAAATACTGAATCTGCTGATGCTTTGATCTTGGACTTCTCAGTCTTTAGAAATACGAGGAATACATTTGTGTTGTTTGTAAGTTACCTAGACTATGGCATTTCTGTTACAGCAGCCCAACCTGACTGTGGCAATTCTATGGAATACATTTTCATGGCTGTCTCTGCATAAAGAATGTCATTCAGTTCTCAGACTAAATGCGGTCTCCAAGAGGAATTACCTTAGCAGCTTTCCTAACACTCTTCACCCTCCCAACTCTTCATACTCACTCCCATCTCTCCTGGATAACAATTATTTCTGTATAACAGAAATATTTCTGTATAACAATTATCACTACTTGGAAATGGTATATTTATTTGTTGGAGAGATTGTTGTTGGTCTCTTAAAGAGCTTCACAATAAGTAATTATCAGGTCACATTGTCAACAGTCCTGAGGTTGAAAAACCTTGACAAACATGTTTCTAGAATTATAGGTGATGCTGAAGTCTTGGCAGAGAGGAAGACACTAGCCTGCCTTTGTGGTACTGATAAAATATAACCTCTGACTTCACCCTTTGGACTCTCCCTCTTCTCTGTTTATGAAGCACATATCTCTATTATACATTGCAAATCACTCTTTTCCTTCTTTTCCTTCACATAAATGACTCTTGGAGTAATAATACCATGTGAGTAGACTGCAGGGGATTACCTCCTGCTCGTGGAGGATCACTTGACCCTTCAGAGGATTTCCCAGCGGTGCCACTGTCACAAATGGATGCCAGACTCCACTGGCTGCTCGTGGAAAGATGTCATAAAGGTCCACAAAGTAGCCACTTTTTTTCACAGTCGTATTCATAAAGTATAAGGAAACAGGATTGCATGTAACTACGTAGAGGGTGTTTTCCTCATTTTCTGAAATGACAAAAAGGTGTTAATTCTGTAGCCTGCAACAGACTTTCTGACTGACCAAGAGAAAACTGAATCAAATGAAAACTGAATCTGTCTGAGCATAGCTGAAACTCAGCAGATGCACTGTTGATGAACTGACTAGGCTGAAAAAGCACATGAAAAACAATTTAGTTCTTAAATGGGGCCACACCTATCTATTTGTTCCTAAAAGGATTTCATAATATCTCACGATAACATCATGGAATATTTAACACTCCTTAATGTCAGGAAATTCTTCCTTGTATGAAAGCAGAATATTCGTGCTTCAATAAAGGTCTGTTTTCTCATGTTTTATTGTTGATTCAGATGGGCCACAGCTGGTCAACATCTTATAACTGCTAATCTTGCATTTCCTAGATAGTTACTAGTCTGTTAGGTTTTTCTTACTATAAGTAATTCCATATTTTGATTCTTAGCTCTATAGATCTCACTTTTCAATTTTTTGTTCATATTTGAGTTATTTCTTATTGCAAAATTTTCAAAGTCTATACAATTTTATTCTAACCCCAAAAATGTTCTTTTCTCTTAAAAAATGCAGAATAGGTTAAAAAAATATGGACAATACAACACAAAAATTTTATCAGGGACAGCAAATGAGTTTCATTTTTCAGGGCCAATTCTGACTTACTGGCAGTGGCTGCCTGGAAAGTTGTGCTTAAAATTGTGAAACTGTGACAAGGATTTATGAGAAAAGTGCTGCAGTTGGTGTGACGCCTGTCAAGGGCACAGGGCAGGGAGCACAGTGTACCTATTTGCAATGTCTAAGTACAAGACAAAGGCTAATTTTCAAACTTTTCCCATAAAATTCATACTTCCTCTCTACTGGTGAATGTAAATTATCTTAATAGGAGTACAATCTGTTACCCCTAAAACCTGTGTAATTTTAAGGAACATATTTTTATTCAACATGGCTGATTAGATGAAAAAACAATAACCACAGAACTTATATGAACAAAAACTTGCTTCTGAATTTTTGCCTAATTCCAATCAAAGTCAAATTAGGGATTTTCTTCCTTCCCCCTGCCACTACTTCTGTTTATTTCCCCTAAGTAACTGCCATCAATTGAGAATCATTTGTCAAGAGGCACCCAGGGCACGCTGCATAAATCAGTAGGTAGTAGCAACAGCCCAGAAAGGCAGACTCCAAAAATTCACATCCTTTATTTGACATTCTTTACAATGAGAAATTTAATGACTGCAAATCACTCCAGCCCTGCTTTCGTGGTTCATGCAATCACCAAACTGGAATCCGAGCCAAAAAAGCCAATGTTTCTCCTTTTTCTTTTCCTCTTCTATTTTTAACACAGGCCTGGGTGTGTTTAACTTTGTGCTACAATTGTAATGAGAAACAGACATATGCTTCCAAACTCAGCAGTGCTGATGTGGACTCCACAATAGTATTTTCTTAGGTTGTTATAGGAAATTAGTTCTAAATTACATATAATTACTATGGAATCCAAGAAAGACAGTTGCTGAGCTGACCAAAGACTTTTTGATGTCTAGAGATTATTTAAATACCCCTTTAGAAAAAAATCAGTGCATAAAGGAAAATCAAAAGAATAAGCTGACATACCACGTGATGTAGCAACGTCACAGATTAAATTAATTTCATCCAGTGGTAACTTCCAGGAGGCACACTCTTCAGTAAAGTTTAGGGATCTTTCTTCATGTCTTTCTATAGGATACTCTTGAATGTTTATAGGTGCTGGACCCTATAATATAGTAGTTATCTGAGTTAAGAATTTAGAGCAGTCACCAAGATGTAGAAAATACTAATGTTCTTTCAAAATATAGATTTAATCTCAAATATTCAGTATCTTGATATACCTATTCTCATTTTATTGACTGGCAAAGTTGTTACACCAATAATAATGCCATATACCAAATACCAAGGAATTTATCTCTTTTTTCTTACACAAAATACCACAATGTCCAAGTACAAGTCTCATTACTTCATTTCTTCCTAACCCAGTTTTAGAATCTTAAATATCAGGACCCAGTACTATCCAACCAGGACATAATTTGTAAATGAATGAACCAGGGCCTAATATAGTTCTATTGTCAAGAATGATTATTATATCATTATATAGAATGTAACCACTAAAACTACATTCCTCATAACCCCTTGCAGAATGTGATTCAGGCTCTGTCCACTGAATACACTTGGATGAGATGTGGAGGCCTAAGAGAGGTAGTGGCCATGTTCTTGCAGCTGCAACAGATAATAAGGATATTGTGACAAATACATGCAGTCAGAGTCTATGCTCCACTGCAGGGGTTGACAAACAATAGCCCAAAGGCCAAGTCTGATCTACTGCCTGCTATGTAAACAAAACTTTATTGGAACACAGCCACACTCATTTGTTTATGTATTGTCTGTGACTGTTTTTGTGCTACCATGGCAAATCTGAGTAGCTGTGACAAAATCTGCATGGCTAAAAAGCCTACAATATTTACTATCTGGTCCTTTATAGAAAAATTTTGCGATCCCACTTTACTGTGTAGCTCCCAACAGGGGTGGTAACAGCAACGCAAACACTGACTTGAAACTAAAAGACTGATGGCAGCCTCTTGACCTGTTCTTCCTGTCCTTTCTAAAGATTTTGTAAGAATCTAATTCTCTACATTAAGTACCTTTCTGCTTAAAATACCTAAAATGGTTTCTATTGCTAGTAGTGACAGTGACTCCTTTCCTTTGCCTTTTTATGTGAGTTGCAGGAATAATACACAATATACCTGACTTTCCCAAAATAGTTTGTTTCTTAGGAATTCTACTGACCATTAGAAATCACCTATGTTGAATCCCTCAAAGGTGAGATTCACTTACGAATTAAAACAGAAGCTAAATCTATTCTACAATAACATTAGAATAAGTCATTCCTGAGACAGTATGAATTCCTCCAGGGAAGACAGAAAAAAATCTGTAACTTTCGGTATTTTAATGAAGAAATGATATCAACCTTTATGCCTATGTGATCAGTTTCTGCAGGACACAACAGTTTTTGCATTCCACTTCTTGACTGGCCAATTGTCCAGTAGCCCATGAATGTCTGCTCAGGCAGAGGCAACCTGTCAAGGGTAATTTGAAAAAGTAAACATCTCATTTTGTTTATAAGTCACAGGAAAAAATTAGTCATTATTGTCAATCACACACATAAATTTGAAGGTTGCTTTACTTAAAGGTGAGTCATACTTCATTTTATTAAGAGAATCTATAAAACCATGTTTAGAATTTCCTTTAGAAGAAAAACTTCCATATCATAGAAACTTAGATGAGGCCTTATTCTGTTTTAACCTAAATGATGAACATGATTAAAGTTCACATTTTTTCACCTTGAATTGGTAAAATATTTAGTAATATTTAAATTCTTAGTAGAGTATGAGAAGGATTTTTTTTTTTTTTAAATGGAGCAATCTATCAGTTTTAAAAGTTCCAAGAGAAGAGACTAGATTAGAAAAATCTAATTTGGAATTTGGAATCAAATAATAAATATATATACTAGTTATCAGTCACATGCTTACTGACTGTAAATGGCAAGTTCTCTATTTTAGCACCTTAATTTTTCTTTTTACTTTGGATTGAAATACAATATACATGTATAAATGTTCACATACATGTGTCACTTTGGTCTGAACACACGGTATAACCAGTACCCGAAAATGTAGAGCATCTCCCATACCCAGGAGTCCCCTGGGGATCATCTTGGTCATTATGCGGGGGGGGGGGGGGGGGGGGGGGGGGGGGGCCCAAGGGAGCTATTATCCTGAATTCTAATGTAATTATCCTGTGTTTAGATTCCTTTTTATTTAAAATAACTTTTAATAAAGTGACTTGCTAAAACAAATAGGGCAATGTTAAAGTACAAAAACACACATTTTTTAAAATAAAGTCTTTACTTGGTAATCATATTCTCTTCTTTGAATTTTTAAAAAGGGAGCCATTTACTTGTCATTTAATTCATTGTAAATTTCTTTTTCAATGATAAGGAGCAAAATGTTTTCATATTTAAAAGTCTTTTTTTTTTTTAAATAATAAATATGGCTATATACGGAAGTGCATGTTTGGAATGAGTATGCTTACTTAATAAGACCATGTAAGGGTTAGGTAGTTTTTGCATAAAATAATGGAAGCAAGCATTCTGATGGAATATACTTTCTGTTCCTTTGCAATGCACAAAAGAAATTCACATTGAAATTCTGCTAAGTCATATGACACAAATCTCTCAAAAGGACTATATGCTTTTGTATCATCTACAATATGTTTTAAATACTTTGGGCAATTATTCTTATTGGTCAACCACCTTACTTCCATGTTTTTACTGGAAACAAGTTAGGAAGAGCACTGAGTCAGGGGATTTACTATTATCATGTTCTCTGTTCAATTTTTTTTTTATAAATTTGTATTGAAATAACATTGTTGTAAAACATTACAGCATAGAGTTTGAGATCTATATACACTACATTATAATAGCCACCGAAAGTCTAGATTCCATCTTCCACCATACAACTGACCTTGAGTATCTTTCGAGTGTAATAAAGACAGATGTCTATGTGTGGGAAGATCTTATAAAAGTCTTAAAGATGAGGATCTCTGTTTGGGGAATAAACTGTATTTTTCATTTGTTTTCAATAGTTGACTAAAGGAAAATTAGGTCTCCAAATATAGAAGGAGAAAAACAAATGAGAGACAGACCTAATTTGTCTCTAGCATAGAAGAGATAGTGTAATAGAATACAGGACACCTCGGTTATTAGTTTTAGCTCTTCTAGTAACTACTCAGTAGACTTGGGAAGAGAAAAGTCAGTTGATTTCTCTGAGTGCTTTTTCCTTCTTATGTGAAATGAAGGGGATGACCTGTTAGGTTTCTTACTGCTTGGGAAATCTTTGATCCACTCAAGTGAGTAGAAGGAAGTGTCAGTTGTAGATTCAGTGGTCTTGCATTACTTTGGTGTTCTGGAGTGAAGATCATCAGAACAAAATATGTACACCTACCAACAGAATATGTGCCTTAATAGAAAGGTAAGTTTCACTAAAGTTTAGCAAAAGAAGCTCTAAATACATCCCAGATTTGCTCTTTGAAGATAGCAGAAACAGTTATAAATTTTGAAGTCTAATTATAAGTGAATTGTTTAATGGAAGTGATTCTTGTTTGACAGGTTGATAAACAAGTTTAATAAATGCACCTAACATCCTTAATAATCTCATAAAAATATAATACAAATGTTACAAATAAACAAATTTCATCCATTAGAGGAAAAGCAACTGTCCTTGACTTCCAGTTGTTACTAACAATTCCAGGGATATTCATAAAATCTGGTTTGAATTAAATAATAGCCATGGAAATTTATAGGCTTCCCAGTTCCATCTAAAACTAGCACTACCTATTGGGTTGACAGGGTATGTGAAGGTCCTTCAGGTACCCCACATAGAATCTATTCAAGACCACATATAACAAGATGCTATTGGCAGTAACAACTGAAAGATACACACACTGGAGTTGTACAAACTGACTCCATCCTGCTCCTTGATAGAAAATATTGTTTCTAAATTTTTCCTATGGGATCCTGGTTTGCTGAGGTAAACAGAATCCCCCCATTTATTATCCACTATTAAATCTCAAAATAAGTTGTGGAAAAAGTTGACCATTACTAACTTTCCTCTTCAACAATTAGTAGTCAGAGGTAGAGGGAAACATTGTATTTGGGTACATGAACAAACTTTAGGATTGGAAATATAATCAACATTATCGTGGGGATAACTTTAATAACCAGTCAGCAAAGACTCCGTATTCCGTTACTGAAATCTGTGATCCAACTCTGACCAGACTTAAAACTATTATATCTGATTTGATGGAAAAACATGGTATTTTCCATGATTTTAAGATCTTATAACTTGTAGTGTTTAACTTTGTTCAAGTCCTAGTTGGAATGACGTCTGGATTTGATTTTAAGGGGGAAGGACGAAAGAACTTAAGGGTTATAAATAGCATTACTTTTTATCTTCCATGTCATTCATGAATTTATGTTTTTTAAAACAATGAAATATATCAGTTCACATGTTGTGATGTTTCTTAATCCCTTGTGGAAGTATTAATAAAGAATGGAAGAGAAAGTCTTAACTAAAGGAAGGTAAATATTAAAATTATGACTCAAGTCAAATTACAAAAAAGAATTTTTTTAATCTAAGCATGCATATAATTCATAATATGATGCATATGGACACCAAAGTCAAGTAATAAAGCCTAAATGACATGCAAGAGATTTGTCTAAGATTGTTTCCATAAAGAGGTGAGTTGGAGTTTTGAAGAGCATGTTCTGGTAAGTTTCTGCCTTCTTTGAACATTTGCCAACACTATTTCTGGAGTATGAAAGAAATACATGAAAAAGATTTGAATCTTCCTCGGGGCATTATGCAACTGGAAGTTGTTGGTAATCCTATTATTATCAATTCGTAAAACATTACCTGTCCACAAGCACTACTAATTTTCACAGGAATAACAGAAGCCTTCAGTGTAGTTTCACCAGCTCTCAAAAATTTACCAATTATTACCATCTTTAAGAAGAAAAAGAACAATTCTAATTTTAGCAGTCCTCACTCAATCCTAATGTTTTAAGTCTAACCTCTGGGGAAAATTAAATTGGATTATCTAATTGAGTTTACTAGAGCTTTTCATAGAATTACCTTGACAAATATTCTTACCTTTCTTTTACTTCTTTCTCTTATATTCTAGTCAATTTATAGGTTAGCCTTTGAAATACTATGCTGTTCCTTAGCATGCTATGCGTTTTTATGCTTCCACAGACCATTATTATCTGCTTAGCATTCCTTTATGCTATTGCCCCTTTGATTAAATCCTTCTCTTTCTTGAGGCCTAATTCAAACGTCACTTTCCCTTGCATTCCTTTCCTATATTTCTTCTCAGACATCAGGAATCTCCTGCTCTTCTGGGTTTCCATGTAAGTTTGCATATATGGAATGCTTAGAAACTCTTAGGACAGAATTCTATAGAATTTTCAATTTGCAAAATTTAAGATCTGATAGAGAATAAAAGTTTGAGAGAGCAAGGTTATAAGTAAATCTATGAAATCCCCTGTAAATACTTTTATCTTCACTAAAGTCAACACACTCAAGAGAAAAATAGAAACTTCTCTTTTAGACATTTTAAATTAGTAATAATGGGACTATTATTCCCATTTTACCCCCAGGCCCCAAACACCTTGTTTGTTGCATACTTTTGAATCTCCCTTCCCTATGGGCTCACATGTTGCTGGTAAATTCATTTTATTTTGCTGCAAATGACATGCACAATGAATATGTGTATATTTTTTCTTCCTTTTTGTGCCTGACTCTGTATTTAGAGTTTCTACCTTTTACTTTATAACCTTAAACCTGTGCACCTCTGCCACCTAGGTCCTGCCAAGATCACAGAAAATGTAAAGCAATTTGGATACATGAGATGGAAAATACATTTCCCAATAACATCCAGAATGACACTGCGCAGCCTCAGAATGCGGCTGCCCAGCGACACTCCTTGCCAGAGCAGATGTTGTCAGCTTGCTCCACACATCTTTGGCTTGCATTCTCTCCTTACAGAAGTTGCCAGACTATGGTTCTCAGGCCTGGGTTTCCTTTCTCTCATCTTCAAGTTTCATTACAAAAATTTTTCTTTTTCTGCCATCTGCCTTCCCAGCCACATCTTAGTACTTTTTTGAGATGTATATTCTTTCCTTTTCTAATTATCCACATCAAAAATGACTGGGACTGAAACGCAGTTGGCAATTTTCCCAGAAAAAAAAAAACCCAACCCTCTGTATTTCCCTCAAGAAGTACTCATAGGACTATATAACCTTACTGTGAATGCAGCACTTTGAATACAACTTTGCATAAGGTTGGCAGTTTACTTGTTTTCCCAATTAGATTGTTAATTCATTGAGGATAAGACTTACATTACTCATTTAAATCTTTGGCACCCAGAATTCAGATATTCTGGCACCTCAGTCTCTCTCACCCTTTCCCTTCTTTTCTCATTGCCATAGCAGAGGCCCTCGTTGTTTACAGCTGTTTTCCAG